TTAATGCCATTGAACACAACTTTTGATCAGAACAACAGCAAAGGTAAGACAATGTCCCGTGTTTGCTCCGTAAAGCTACGTGGTGTGATGTCTGCGTTTGTTTCCCATGCCGGGAGGTTTGATCGCTCAGTGATTATACTTATATTTCTGGAATCTGTGGAATCTCAGCTTGCTAATCGATATCTTGTTTATGCGGATCCGATAAGTAATAAGGGTATTTTACAGTGAGTTCTGTGCTAAGTGCGTTAGCATTTTTTTCGCTCAGGGCTAATTCAGAGCCTTTGTTATTACCATTGTGTTTCGTTTAGCTAAAAATTGTTAATATTGTCTGATAGCTGAGTTTCTTCCCGTTAAGTGGGTATGACACATTCATAGTTTGTTATGTTAAGAAACCCTCAGACGCTGTGTCTTGCAAGATGTTGCGTTTTTCCCCCACCGGCAGGGTCGTCGGGCTTAACTGGTTAAGAATACACACTACCGCCGCCTGCTGGTAAGGAGAGTTATTGCCATTTCACGCATGCGCAGTGCGTACGTGCTACTTGGCCGTCGGCTGAAGTCTTTGCGGTGTGTTCCAGTGCGACTTTTTGGCCAAGACGCAGGAGACGTGAGGCGACACAACAATCGGGTCCGTCGGGACGTGTTCTTTGGTGTCAGTTTGGTGTGTCAGGGCCTTAAGTTGTTTCCATGTGCTGCTCCCTCGCTGCATGGTGCCTCATCAGCTGTCATCCTCTCACTTCTGTTCATCTGTGTGTGTTGTCAGGTCTGATCTACGAGGAGGAGGGGGCTCTCGTAGAGCTGATGATATGCGCCCTCAGACAGGCAGCACAGGCGAGCCCCCCTGTTGGGAGGACTCAGAGCAAGAAGGTGGTGACACCCAAACACATGCATAATAAACCTCTGTAGTTTGTGTTTAATCTGGAACAGTCGAGTTAGTGGGCGAGAGAAATGTCTTTGTTTTTACTTCAAATATAACCATCATACAAAAAGTTTTAAAGCTTCTATACGCAACTTTGTGACACTAAACAGGAATACATAAGATAAACCACATCAGCCTAATTCATGTGTAAAGAATATCAGTGTTCATCTGTTCATGTCTTATCAAAGATGAGTGCTTATCGTGATATCGTTATTTAGTTTAAAGTAACTTTTATTAGGATAGAAATTTGCATATATTACAGTTTCATAAAAAGTATATCCTTTTAATTTATAATTGTTTGAACTTTACTGGAAATGTATGGTCACATCACTTTGAACACAGGAAGCACACACACACATTTAATCAATTTCTGAATGTTGTTTTCCTCACATATGGTTGAATTGCTGGCTTGTGACTGATGTGGGATCAGCTTCTCAGTATGAAGGATAAGAAAGCCCAGGAGCATGACCGGAGGCGCCTCACCATGCACTTCATCCCGTTACTGCCACAGCTGCTGGCCAAGGTACTCTCGAGGCTATTGATATTATACCGTTACATTTCTTACATTGTACACAGTGTCCTGCACGAAACAGTTGCACAGTATTGCCTTCACCATATGTCTATATATAAATATACTTTGGAATGTAAGGGAATATATGGAACGGCATTATGTAATAAGGATAGAAAATACGGAAACAATTTGAGTGTATGAGTAGTGTTTCATTTACTTTTAGTAGGATAACTATTTAAAATTCATTACGAAATACTTTTTTTTTTTAAACTACCGAAATATCCAAATGTAACCCTATTGATATTTCAACATTTGCATATTTGTTAATAAGGTAATCAAACATAAAGTCATCAAGTTAGATTGTTTCAATATTGTGAGAATTGGATTAGGCAGTTGACTACATTTTGTAAAAGGTCATTTGTACTTGTATTGTCTATGCCAAGTATAGAGAAGCAGCATTTCTTATTTTCTTTGTTGATGTAAATCCAGTGTTGCTCTCCTCTCTCCCTGGCCTGCAGTACTCAGCAGATGCAGGGATTGTGACTCTCCTTCTCAAAGCTCCCCTCTACTTTAACCTGGAGATGTACAACAGCGTGCCTCGGCTGGAGAAGGTAGGAGTGAAGAATAATCCATTGAAAATGACCCCGTCCCCATGTTTTAATACTACTAAATCTTATTTTAAAGTACTACTAGTTAACCAGTTCTCTATGGATCTCCTCCCAGCATCTGGACCAGCTGCTGTTTCAGTTGTGTGGGATCATGGAGAAGCACACGGCGGTCACTGTGCTGCAGGCTTGCTCCAACCTGTTCAGCGCCCTCTGTGCCGACTGCTACACCTTCTCCTCCCGCTCTCACCTGGCCTTCAGCCAGCTGCTGGACGGCCTGACCGAGTGCTTCAGCTCCTACCTGAGCGACCTGCTGCTGGTGAGAGTGTGTGTCAGTGGAGCTCTATACAGGCAAAAGGAGCAGGTTAAACATGCACATACTTGGTGTTTATTAGTATGTTGTTATTGGATAAAGTCATGCCCACCAACTATATTCAATTAGACTATGCCAGGACAACTAGGTCTTTGTCGTATACAAATGACAAAGGTTTAGAAACCATTATATA